GAGGGTAAAGTGGTAGGCAAAGATGAAGGGAACATTAAAGAAAATGAGTGCTTATTGTAAAGGTTTGGAGCCTAAAATGACAGGATTCAAGAAGTGAACTTTATAAATAAAGAATCTTGGCCTTTCTCTAAGACCCGGAGGGAGTGAATGTGTAAATTCAGAAACTGCCTGAATGCTGCACATCAATAGTTGAAGCGGTATTTTATGGGAGAAACAAATCAATGCCTAGTCTTTCTGTCTGTGCACTAGTAAATCTATCACTTCACCTCTGGCAGTCAATAAAACTTTCTTATGTTTGCTACATTTTTATTGGTTCCAAAGTCCTTTCGTGGGTATGATTTATTTGGCTTCACCACATCCTTGAGAGAAGATTGGAGTAAGTAAATCTTTAATAGTCAGAAAGAGAGCAGTCCAGGCCTCAAAAGAAACCAAGTCACCTGTCCATGATAATTAAGCTACTCACCTTTCTTAAAGGACAAAACATAGTTTTGTGGGGTTTTTTTTGCACCCTGATACAAAACTACTTACAGTATTGTACACCATTGTATGTGTGTTACAGTGATGCAGATAACAGATGAAATCGATGACATTTTTAGATGAGATAAGAAAAGGGGGGAACTTATTCTGTGAATTAGACTTGATAAGTGGAGAAACCAAGATTGATCCAGACCAGACTGGAAGTGCCTTATATTTGCTTTAAATATTACAGGGGAGAAAGATTCGTGAGTTGATTTTTCCAGGCCTGTCTAGTATGTAAAGTTTAGCTTCTGAATTTTTGCTTTTTGACATGAAAGATTGTCCACTGAGTCAATCAGGGAATTTTAGTGCACGCAGTTTCTTTCACACATTCCATGCAGATGCACCAAAGATGCCCTTCTGATCTCACATTCATACTTGTGTTCTTCAGCTGGCAAACAAATATTTCAAGTTTCTACTCCCAAGCTTAATTCCCAGTGGACCAAGGCTTATATCTTTACAGCTGTGTTTTTGCATTCATTTAATTAAAAGTGCATAATTTATTATATAACATGAAAGGCAAATCAAATAAATGTGCTACTAGATGCTTGTGATAGTAAAGGCTGAAATCAGTTGGCTAAAACGAAAAGACAACTTTGGAGTCGTGATACAGTACTCAGCTGTAAATTCAATCAAAAAGCATTTATTCATTTTTCAGAAAGTAATTCTGGAAATGTATAAAGACTTCAAAAAGACTGTAGTGTTGCAGGAAATGGACAGATACTAAAATTATAAATGGATAAGTGACAACAAATATTTCAGCCATTTGATTACACAGTATATTTCTCAAGATGTACAAATCTGTGAGTAAACAATAAGTGCACGACCGAAATGAATGGACTCCTCAGAAATACAAATGGCCAATAGATACAAAAATATGCTCAATATCGCTGGCCATAAGAAAAGCACAAGTAAAAAGGACATTGTGATACCATCTTACTCCAGAAAGAATAGCTATCATGAAAAAGTTAAATAGTAACAAGTGCTGGCGAGGATATAGGGGAAAAGGAGCACTACTATATTGTCGATGGGAGTGCAAACCAGTACAACCACCATGGAAATCAGTGTGGAGATTGCTCAAAATCTGAAAATAGAAATTCCATTTGACCCAGCTGTTCCACTTCTAGATATTTTCCCAAAAGAGCTAAAGTCATCATATTACAGTGATACATGCACACCCATGTTTATAGCAGCACAATTTATAAGTGCTAGATCTTAGGAAGAGGGCATATATGTCTATGAGTGTAGAGAAGATAAAAAAAATAGAAAGTAGAGCCAGGTGTTCATACCTATAGTCCCTGCACTCTAGAGGTTAAGGCAGGAGGACTGCTGCAAATTCAAGGCCAGCCTGAGCTACAAAGTGAGTTCAAAGTCAGCCTGAGTTACATAGAAAGATCCTGTCTCAAAAAAAAAATTATGAAAGTAGGCAAAAGCTAAAATATTTCTTCATGCTTATGTGTTTCATTAATTCAAAACTATTTTAATATATATATGCTAATTCATTTCATTTATACTACTAGCTCTTCTTTGCTCATTGAAAAGGAAGTTCTGCCATATGTTTGTTCCTTCCTGGAAAGACAGTCTTTTTTGTCAATAATTTTTACGCTAAGCAATAATTTGGCCTTTCTTTTAAGACTATGATATACAGTGTGTTAACTATTGTTCTTCTTTAATAAAAAAATTTTGTGGATAAGATAGAAACCTTAATCATGAGAATGCAACTGGCTTGCAACATTTTGCCAACAAAATCTCAAGCAAGTTGATAAGATATTCTTCTTAATTCAGCATCAAAATATTCCCTGTAATTTTGCACAAAATCACTAATAGATTATGTCTCCTCATACTTGACACTTCAAATATGGTACAGAATGAAGAAATACAAAATGAAGTTATATAAATTATAGAAAAACACTTCTGTCTTCAGTCTATGTAAGGCAAAGACTCTAGCAGTCTGTTGACTCAGGATACCAATAGCACCTACCCCTACCATATCGAAGAGGGGAAATAGACATTCATGTTATAAAAAAGGTATTAGAGCTAAAAGATGCTTAATGATCAAGAGACAAAAATCAAACACTTCTACCACAATTAGCCCCTTATTATAATTATGTGTAAATCCATTACTTGTGTATACTTACCTCTCAATACAATTCCCAAAACACAACAAGAAGGGAGTTGCTTCTAGTCTGGAGTCACTTAGCCAGAACTGGTGAATTGCTAGAAGTAAGGACGGAAGAGGTGGGTGGTATTTAACAATAATAATAACAATGAGAAATGTGGCCCAGAGTGGGAATGATGTCACGGGCCTGCAATCCCAGCACTCTGGGAGCTGAGGCAGGATTGAAAGTCCTAGCCCCTGGGACTAGAGATTCCATTTGACGCAGCCTGCTCTGCTGGTTATCTTTCCAAAAGAATTAAAAGAATCATACTGCAGTGATTTATGTGCACCAATGTTTATAGCAGGACAGTTTGGAATAGCTAAAACTTGGAAACAGCCCATTTGCCCATCTGTTGGAAACTGGATAAAGATGATGTGGTTTTTCTATAAAATGGAATGCTACTCAGCCATAAAGAATGATAAATTAGAGTCATTGATAGGAAAATGGATACATATTGAGGATATACTCCTAAGTGAAATAAGTCACACGTGTAAAAACTGAATAGTTTCTCTGGTGTAAAAAACTATAATAGTACACAAGATCCTAATGGGATAATTAATAGTGTGAAATAGGAAGAAAAGGGCTAAAGGTGTAGGGAAAGTGGGAAGGGTAGCGGAAAGCGTATAAGAGAAAAGAAAAAAATTTGAGAAGATGAAAAAATGGAAGTAGAGTTTTTGTAAATGGGGAGGGGAGGAGGGGATGAAGGGAGGGCAGGGACAAAGGGAAAAGAAATGAGAACTAAGACCTGTCATGTGAAGCTACAGGATCCCAGTAATGAATGTATTGTATACATTGTCCAATAGATTGTACCAATAAACTCAATAAAAAAAATATAAAAAGGAAGTCCTAGCCCAGCCCGGGGAATTTAGTGATTTAGCAATACCACGTCTTAAAATGCAACTTAAAGAAAGGACTGGAGATGTAGCTCAGTATGAAAGTCCTGGCTTCCACCTGCAGTACTCTGCAAAATAAATACTATAAATAAATAAACAAGGTTCCCGTTCCAGGGTCATCACCAAAGTACTTCTGGGTCCTTTCCCCACTTTTCCTAGCGTTCATCAGGCGATTCTGAAGTTCTGAAATGTCTTCAGGACGGGGGACAAAAACACAGTAGCAGAAAAACACAGGGCGGTTTCTTCCGCGGGCTCTGCCTCCCTCTCAAATCACCCAACCTCGCCCCAGACTGGGGGAGACCTTCAGTACACTCCAAGGTCTGCTGGTCAGTCTTCGCATTTTCCCTGCCTATCATTCAAGCCCCTCGCTTTAGAGTCTCCTCCTCTCCTCCCCGAAGAGGAGCTGGCAGCTGCCAGGGTCCCCAAACACAGACCCAGCTCCGGCGAGGGGGCCCCACCTGCCGCAGGTGAATGTTCGGTCCAGGCAGGAAGTGAGCGGAGATCCCGGAGCGCGGGCTCCTTCTCATCCTGGCCACCGCAGACCCC